CTCGATGTTGTATTTTTTAATAGTTCTGAAAAGATTAAACTCTTTGATTCGATGGTTTGCTCTATTTTGAATTATGGTTCTGAAGTGTGGAGTTTTCATAAGGCACCAGATATTGAAAAGGTTCACATGAAATTTTTAAAACAAACTTTACATGTTCGAACACAAACATCAAATACATTACATTATATGGTGAATTTGGAAGACTTCCACTATATTTTATGCGTAAGATAAGAATGATTAAATATTGATTTAAGATAATGTCAAACACAGATTCTCTTATGTATAAATTATTTATAAAGCATGACTTTAATGGTAATCCAGTAAATAAATGGTCTAATAATGTTAAGAATATTCTAGATGAAACAGGTTTTTCCTACATATGGAATAATTCATTTGAAACAAATTTACAGATTCAATGTGTTATAAGATCAATCTATGATCAGTATATTCTGAACCTCGTAACTCACCAAAACTAGAAACATATTGTTAGATATTTTTGCACAGAGAAATATTTATCAAGTATCTCTAATATTAATCACAGAATTGCATTATCTAGGCTAAGATGTTCCGCTCATAATCTACTTATTTAAGAGGGAAGGCATAGAAATATTGACAGAAGACTTAGAATATGTACAAAATGTAATATGAGTAGTATTGAAAACGTATATCATTTTTTACAAGTTTGCCCTTTTTATAGAGAAATAAGAAACGCATGTTTGCCGAAATATTATTGTCATTGGCCTAATTTGAACAAATTTAAAACATTATTATCTAGTACTCAGAGTAGCATTTTAAACAAAACCTCAATATTTATATATTTAGCTAATGTTAAAAGAAATATGTAATGACCATATTGCATTTTTCATCATTTTTTAAAAATGAGTTTGTATTTATTGTAATAGCTTGTTAACACTACTTCCTGCATTGTGTTGATATTGTAAAATAATTTAAAAGAATAATATATGACTAATGTCATATAATCAATTATTGAATGTATGTATTATCTACAACTGTAACTTTATAATAACATACTTTTCTCAATTGAACATTATATCCGCCATACAGTTGTGTATTGGCGGTGAACATTGTATATGTTTATGCCAAATAAATATTCAATTAAAATACTGAAATGTCTTCATGCATAATAAGGAGTCGAAATGTCTGGTCAATTGAAGGGGTCTAAGTGTCTTAATTGTCCGGGTATCAAGGGTTGAGATTTCAAAGAGTCGTTTGAATAATAATTATAAATCTCACTGAAATCACACACAAGAGCTCGCTTATTTAATTGCATATTCATCCATGATGCCCTTTACCATCCCTCTTAAAAAATCTCGTCGGATATCATTAAGTGACATAACAGGATGCGAGTTCCATCTGCGGCTCGTTTGTTTTGTTTACATGTGTAAATAAAGCTTATGGTAATTAATTAATATACACTCGGATATTTATGGAATTCGGATCAAAAAGAGCTGATGGCGCACTATGTAACTGAAATGAATAGACTATTTCCTTTATTTTCAAGTACAATACATGGAATTTAACTTAAATATTTGAGTTATTTCTTTAATAAATATATCTGTGCGATAAAATAATTTCTATTTCATGTTTATTAAAATGCAAAATAGTATTGTTTTAATATGATAGTATAAAACACGACGAGAAAGGCATCATTTAAGATTTAAATCACAATAACGATGCAGAAAACAATGCAAATGTGTAACAATTTATAGATTAGTATGGTCACTGTCTTTTTGGCAAAGTAGGCAAAACCTACCGTCTGTTTGTAAGCAGCGCCTACCTAATGCAGGCATTGCCTGTCGTCTTGAAGCCTCTCTCTCTCTCTCTCTGTTTCTCTCTGTCTCTCTCTTTTTGTCTGTCTGTCTGTCTGTCTGTCTGTCTCTGTCTCCTGATTTATTATTGAATAGTGATTATTCATCAAACATTATTCAGAAGGAAATAAACTGAGCTATAGTTTTCTGTCCGACTTTTATTAAGTAAGTCATATCCTTTTCCTTCTTATTACTCATATGTGAGAAAGAAAATATGTTAGTAAACATTTTATCTAGAAATTATCAATACATATACCTATTATTCTGTTAAATATAGAATAGTAAAAAGTTCATGTACTTCTTAGTCTCAACTTGAAACCGTGTTAAAAACCTAAGTGATAGAATATTGACTATATCAGGAGTATGCAAAACTAAGGAGTAAGAATTAAGTGATCCTTAAGAAATTAATTTTAATTGATTTTAAAAATCAAACCTCGGACTAATTTATTAAAGTAAACGAACAACGACAACAAATGCATGTGACATCTTGATTTTGAGTTTAAATCCAACTAGGGTCATATTTTTCTTTCTGCATGTTTAATTTTAACTGTATTTATTTGATTTGTCTCTCAGATTTTATTTAGAAATAAACTGTGTTTAAGTTGTATATCTATCAAATGGCTAAAAATTTGTTAGATTAATTACAAATATGACACCTAGATTAATCAATATGTTATATTCGTGTACATGAATATGTTAAAACTCACAGAAGAAATATCAACAAATATACTTGATAGAACATTTGGGCTGATTTTGGTACAAGTCTCTGTATAAATAAATTATCAGTGATATTTTGGATTACGCACCATATGACAGAAAAAGATCAAATCAGTAGTAGGGTTAATTAATTTATAAATATTTCAAAAAGTTAATGCTGATGCAATCATAAACTAAGTATATTTTTGGCAAAATGTTATCATTGGTTTCTTAACAGTAAAGAATACGAAAACATTGATGATACAAGAAATTATTTAGAGTTACTTATGCCTGAATAGGCGTCATTCTTGTGGCTAAGCTTTACTAAAGACAACAATGCCTTGAAGTTCAACCGTACGTTACATTGTATAATTATGTGTTTAAAGTTTACTAAATTGTTCCTAAACGCATACAAATTAATTCAGTTTTGATTTTGTCAGTACTTTAAAAAACAATTAAGGATGGTCATTCTTTGAAGGATTTCGTTTGGACGGACTGTCCCTGGACAAACTATTTAAAACATATTTATCTTAGCTCATATTTTATCGAAGCTTAGAGCAGGACTCAAATCCACTATCTATTGATTGAATGAAAGTCATCTCAAACTATAAGGACATACAAGAACGCTGACCAGAGCGTTGTTCTAATAAGCTATAGGCTTTTGTCATATTCTAGCTTAAATGGAAAATAAACTAATAATAAACTAATGTGAAAAAGGTGTTCTATATGATGAAATAACCTTTTTGACCGAGTAAATATTCAGTAATATATTAACATTGAACATAAACAATGACAAAAACGTAATGGTACTCATTGTTTATCCCCTTTACTTTTTAGCTTTGCTTCTTAAAGAAATTGGAATGCCTCTTTCTTTGTAGTATTCACATTTACTTGACAATTTATTTTTACAGATGTTGCTATTGATATGTACTGCTTTACTGCTGAATATAGGAGTTTTTGGTAAGAAATAGATTTTACAATTTTAACAACAATCACCGTTTTTCGTCTATCGCAAAAACACTCGATAAAATAATTAGATCTATAGAAGATGAATTGCATAGTGTATAGTCACTTTCGATCAGAAAACGACAAACAGTTGCTTGGTTTGGTCGAAAACGAAGACATCACCGTCAAAATCATTGAAAATTTATTCTTTAATTAGACCATTTCAAAACAATTTCGTGAAATACGTACCAACCTAACTCTTTTAAATACGTTATAGTGATTCTTTTTTTCTTTAGTTTTAGAGATTCTTTTCTTCTTTATACCATTGTAAAAAACGGGAAAGTCAATGTGGCAGAAAAGTCGCATATGCAAAAAGTTGTACCATTGGCACAGTTTCAAATGAATTACCTAAAGTTAAATTGCTTAAAGGAAAATTTGATAATACTTACCTTTTGGTTTCAGTGCAATCGTATTGTCCAAAAGGTTGCAAATGTAAAGAATATGGATATTGTTATGATTGTGAAATGGGATACTACATGATGCAGAGCGGGACATGTAATAAGTGCCCTGCAAATTGTCAGTCTTGTTCTTCAGTAAACAAATGTGAAAAATGTGACGTTGGATATTATCAAGACCAATTCTCATGTCGCCCATGCTCCACTAGTTGTACACAATGTTTATCGTTTAATACATGTTCAAAATGCAATACTGGGTATTTCAGAAACGGTTATGAATGCATTAAATGTATGTCGCCATGCAAAACATGTACGTCCGAATATAATTGCATTACATGTAATGATGGATTTAAATTTAACGGTACTTCTTGCAAAAAATGTCAAGAGGGTTATTTTGAAAACAGTAATTCGTGTTCACCGTGCCCAAATAATTGCGCTTCCTGTTTGTTAATAAATGAATGTACAAAATGCAAGCAAGGATTTTTCGGAAAAACATGTGATCAAAGGTGTTCCACGGGATGTAAAGACAACGTTTGCGAACAAAACACTGGTAATTGTGTTTGCAAAGAAAATTATGTTGGGAAAAATTGCTCTCTTTGTAAACCTTCCAAATATGGAAAAAACTGCCACCTTGACTGTCCAAAAGGATGTTTAACGTGTGATTCAGATGAAAGTTGTAGCTTGTGCAATGTTGGTTACATCGGTAAAAAATGCAACTGTTCAAACGGTTGTGTTGACAACAAATGTGACAGATTTACAGGAAAGTGCTATCAATGCAAACCGTTTTTTAAATGGCCTTGTATGGAATGTGAAGACGGCAAATGGGGAAAATTTTGTGAAAATGATTGCCCTGATAAGTGCCTCACATGTATTTCGGAAGCTAACTGCACAAAATGTAAGGATGGAAACTATTTCTCAGATTGGGAATGCTTAAACTGTTCTATCAATTGTCAAAATATATCATGTAATGCAGAGAGTGGTGATTGTGAGTACGGATGCAAACAAGGTTATTGGGGAAAGTTTTGTAAGGGGCAATGTCCCAAACATTGCCCAAACAACACATGTAATATCGGAAATGGAACTTGTAGTCAAAGTTTCAATGATAGTTACCATGGACATGACCAATCGTATCACAAGAATTGTAGCGTAACCTGCATTTATCGACAATGCTATTCGATAACGGGCAGATGTACTTTGGGATGCGAGCCAGGATACTACGGGGAAACATGCAACAAACAATGCAGCAGTGATTGCGAAAACGTTACATGTAATAGAGAAAACGGCTCATGCAATATTTGTAAGAATAAAGTATTTAGTTTATTTTTATTATTGTTATAAATTTGGTATGTCAAATAACAAATATAACGCATACTTAACAAAGAAATTTGATAAAGTACTTTAATTAAGACATAGCATCAATATAAACGTATAAATTGTTATTTCCATTCTTTTGAGGTATCTGGTTGCATCATTTAAGTTAATAGAACACTTATGACACTATAATATTGAATAAGATACTAAGTAACGCTTTTGCATTTACGTACTGATCTAGTTTATTTCACAGATAAAGTGGACGATTTGTCTTCAAGCTTACATCGACGACTTGGTTCAGTTCTTTTCATTGTATCGCTTGTGTGTCTGATCATTGTAATTATCATAACAGCTATATCAACTGTAAAAAGGTACATGATTGTATTTTCCGCTAAATTCTAGAGTTAAAAATCTTATTCAACTTGTTAAATTGTTTGCCACTATTGTAAAACTATTGTAAAACTGCACTATCAGTACTTACATTTGTGTTGTAAATGTATGATGTATCTTCAGTTCTATAAAGTCAGCAAATCCGTGTTAGTTTGTTCGTTTTTTTTGGATTTCAAGTCAAACTTCCACGGTAAAGGTCTTGCTTGACTCTCCAGAAGACGTCAGATACCCATTCATGTACGTTTGTCGTACAGGAGGCTGGGCTGTAATTGAGAAGAAACATCGCCCTTTCATAAGCTAGCTGGGTTCTTTATCATATGAAATAATACTTACGGGATTCGAACTAACAGTTTTAAAGGACAATTGTACATAAACGAGCGGAATCAAACCGAGCCTACAACATTTTCAATTCTGTCGTTTTGAACGTTTTTTTATTCTTATTGTCTCTGTATCAAGTATTTAACAATTGACCTAAATTAATAATCTGGACGTAAATATTGCTTTTCTTTATATTTAATTCCGAGTCATCTGATGGAAAAATAATCAAGATAATTATATGTCTTTATTCCATATTACATTTACTGGAACAATTTATGGACCTTTATATTTTTTGGCCTTATGTAGTATTTAACTAGAATGTTTTTGTGTTAATATTATATTTGAATTTTTCTTGAAGATTGTATGAGATAGTAGTTGGATCTGAATTAGTTTTGTTAATTTCAATTTTTTCCAGTCTTAGAAATACACAAAACCGTCATGCAGTAGAGGGTTGGGAGGAATCAGTTACTTGTACAGCAGTGAGAAATTCTGAAGAAATACTGTCTTGTAAAGGTAAAGTAAACATTTGTTGTTCTCGTTTTGTTTAATTTAGTCATGTAATATGTTGTAGTATATTGAAGATATATTTTGATAGAACGTCCAGTGATTTCATTAACATTCAGAGTACACTATTACCTATTGAAAATATGACTAAAAGACGTAACTTCGATCTGAATAAGTCGTTTACCGTTACCAGCATGGTGTTATGTGTAAGTTTTTTTCGTTTTCTGTTTTCATTTTGATTATATTATTCACTATATAAAATTGCAGTTGTGTATCATATATGAATGTTAAAGTATGATTTTCGCAGGAAAGAAATAAAATTTGTCATAGATAAGGAAAATTATACGAAATTAAAATTGTGTTTACGGAAATTTATTTACTTTTGAAATAATTATGAGTCAAAGCTTGTAGGATTATTTAGAAATTTTCAGTAGGGTCATTTAAAAGATTTGATTTTAAACAATAGTTATAAAAGAGTTGTATTATAATAAGACTAATTGTAATTTTATCTCAGAACGTCAAATAAGAAATATAACAAAAATGAAATTGCGTGACAAAGAATTGAAATTTAAAATTTATAAATTGACTACATTTTAAACGTTGTTCACTAATCACCAGATGTATTTTATAATTTCATAGTAAGTAATTAATCCATAACTGGTTGGAAAAGCATGATTATATATAAACTAAGCAATAGAAGGGAACATACAAAAAGTATTACATTGATTTGTTATTTTTCAAAAACTTTATTCCCTGTATGTAATATAGGGGCGTCCGTGGCCAAGTGGTTAAGGTCGTTGACTTCAAACCACTTACCCTTCACCGCTGTGGGTTCGAATCCCGACAGGGACTTTGGATTCTTTCATGTGAGGAAGCTATCCAGCTGGTTTGCGGAACGTCGGTGGTTCTACTCAGGTGCCTGTTCGTACCTGAAATAATACACGGAAAGGCACCTAAGGTCTTCCTCCACCAGTAAAGCTGGAACGTCGCCAAATGACCTATACTGTGTCGGTGTGACGTTAAACCCAATAAAACAAACAAACAAACAAACAAAGTATGTGATATAAATACAGTTCAGCTGTTGAAATAGTACAAGTAACATTTCAACCATTTGACCAATATGTTCTGTTGCATGGCTAGTCTCTTTTTTCTACTTTTAATTATACTTTCTTCATTTGAAATAATTTTTGTAAAAGATTTTGATTCCATTCTCATTAAGTGAAATAGTAAAATTTTCTCCCATTTTCTGAAAATATATCTAATGATTTTGCCTTTTAGACGATAAGAGAAATCAGCAAAATGTAGAACAAGTTGAAAATATTAATCCAGCAGTCATAGTCGGTAGTGTTGAACCAACCGAAGACGAAAATATAAATCTATTTTATGTCAACGTAAACGAATACGCAAGTATTGAACGGAAACAATTTCAAAACATCACAGAAGACATTGAGGATGAAAGTCAACCTGCAGCTGACAATGAATTGGTATGTTTATAAGAAATATATGCGATCTTTCTTTCAGATTCATCCTGCTTTTGCATCAAAGATAAAGATTATTTCTTTTTCCCCGGTTCTACTGTAATAAAGTTGAAAATCGTTTTCTTTTTCAATTTACTATGCTATATTTAATTGAAATGGTATATATAAATAACATATATAAGTACGTAAGTAAGTGAGTGAGTGAGTGAGTGAGTGAGTGACTGAGTGACTGAGTGAGTGAGTAACGGCTGTGTTTAATGAGGAATCAGAGTTTGACCAGGCCAGTCTTTCACGCGAGGCTCAGTGATGTACATAATAATACATATCATCAAAGAAGAGATTTCTTTAATTTGAACTTTTTTTGTATTTTGCCTGTTATGTTAGTAAACAGAAAAAAATAATCCAAACTTTATTTTCTGTTTGAATGTAATCTAATATTACCAATCAGGTTGATGACTTTCTATACGCCAACACGGAAGAGTACTTCAAACGTAGAGTGCCAGTTGATAAACTCAGAGATTTCGTAAAAAACAAAACAGACCTTGAATACATTGAGGAATTTATGGTAACATTCAAAGATAGCGAAATAAAAAAAATATTTTTAGTAAATAATTTAACTTAATAAGCTATAATTTTAAAGTTAGGCTGTAATTTATAAAGTCATAATTGGATTTAATGTTGAAAACGATAAAATTACATAGAAATGAAATAAATAAAAATAAGAAAATCAAAATGTTTGAAAACACTATTTTTTGTATTTGCTTTGGTTTTGAAATATTATTTTGAAAATTTGTCATGCTTTCTTCCATGACCTATGAAATTATCTTAAAATTGTTTAATTACTGTTTAGTAGATCAATTATAATTTGAAGAATAGTACAGGTTATTATGCACTTCTGCAAACAGCTAATTTTTTATTTTTAGGACTTACCACTAGGCCTAATAAAACCTTTTAACGAATCGCAGAAGGCTGACAATATTAGGAAAAATCGTTATAAAGGTGTTTACCCATGTAAGTTATTACCTAATACGCATGATTACTTACAATACACTAATAAGTGACATTATCTTTTCAAATTGCATACGATTTAGTACTAGTTGATCGGATAACATGTACAGAACAAAACATAAACAAAACGCCTTCAATAACAGTTTCGTTTCCTCTTTGATGATATATTGATTTATGATATGGTTGCTGATTTCCATTACGTTCTTGTTGTCGCCTTTTCACTGTTGATGTATATTATATAAATGTATATAAAAAAATGCTCATGTACCTAAAATTACTTAAACTAGTTATGTTTTAAATCAATTGAATATTCAATAATTTAATTCAATAGAAGATGCACATAAATATATTTTCACATAAATGTATTCTTTTCCAGTATAAACGGGGTTTTCCGTTTCTTTGTTGGTTTTTCTTTTGGCCATTTAGTTCAGTTCATGTTCAATACTGCCGTTTTTTCAAATGGCTTAGTGTTACATTTTGTAAACTGAATTTACATCGTTGTAGACTAATTTCTTTGCTTTCGTTATATTATTTTTAAAAATTCAATGTAAAATATGTTTTGTGCGATCACCTGTATAGATGACAGCAGAAGGGTTATTGTGGAAGACATGGAATCAGACTATATCAATGCTAGCTATATAGACGTGAGTCATGTTTTAAACAATTCAATATGACATTCTGTTTGGACTTCAGAATTTTATGTTTACTTATTACTCATCTCTATATTGTGATTACTTCAAATTTTCGAATGAAAAGAAGATTTATTTTTCCAATAAATATATTTTATAGTCATAAAAACAATTAAGTAAATAATTCTTTTGCAATTTTATGGAAACACATGTCTGAGAAGGTCCCCAAGTCATACTGGTAATAATTGTGGCCCAAACCTTTGCTTCAAACTATTAACATACATGTTTTCCGTATCTATTGTATTCAGTTTCGTATAAATTGTTCTCTTTATGGTCATGTTAAAAGCTGTAAAATATGATACAACAATTGTTAACTTTAATAAAACAGTAATTACTAATGAAATATTCTAATATCTTCCTTGTAAGACATATATTCATCTAAAATCATCAAACATTATAATATACATTAAAGAAACTTCATGATCTTACTTGACAATCACGTCTAGAAGTGATTTAGTATCAAAATGGTGAATTTTGTCTTCTCAGGGAAGAAACTACTGTTTTCAATGAACAGAAGTATTTTGATAAAACCAATATTTACACATTACCTTGACTTCTTTTAATGTTTCCGTTTAACTTATTTCAGTTATATTTCCTCCACTTTACTATTATGTGAATCAAAATTTTACAAAATCTTCAATAAAGCTTGGATAAGTGTCATTCTTTACAGCATAATGTTATATCTATAAAATATTTAAATTCTAGGGTTACAAACGACAAAAGGCTTATATAGCATCTCTAGGTATGTACGAAATGTGCAAGTGTTTGTAATCAAATAACGTTTCACCTCTATCTGTTAAATAAGAAAAGTTTTTTTTTGTCTTGTGAGTAACGTACATTGTATGAAATTTACTGTTAAAATGTACTAATGGTAAAAGTGTTGTTTGTTTTTGTAGTTTCTAATTTGAATCGTTGCATTACATAAAAAATTCGCATAAGATAACGTACACAACATTAGAAATAATATTACATATAAATGTATATATAGTTACCCAAATAATAAAATCTCTATTTTTATTATTATATTTATTATTATTATTATTATTATTATTATTATTATTATTATTATTATTATTATTATTATATAAAGGACCAACAATTAAACAAATGGGTGATGATTTTGGAGTGTTCTGGAACATGGTCTGGCAAGAAAGAGTTTGTAAAATAGTTATGCTGACCAATCTCACAGAGCTAGGGGTAAGTAATAATAGTTTTCCTTTGTGTCGGAGTGAATTCGCAGCTATCTAAAGAATATGTTATCTTATCAAAACTACCCTGTAAACAGGTTTTTCACGGAGAGGTATAAATGTTAACTATGTCATGTATGTGATACATAACTGTTTTTATTTAAACAGTTTTCCTCCAAAGAGGGAAAAAACTTGATGGTCCTGGTGCTGGCCAAATTTGTTTTGTTAACTAATATTAAACATTGTTTGATAATTTGATTATCGGAGAGAACTGATGCAATATTTTTCACACATGATTATTATAAACAAACCCTATTATTATGTACTTTTTAGGTGAGAAAATGTGACAAATACTGGCCAGATAAAGACGTGTGTTGCATTTATGGAGATGTAAAAGTTACGGGTAAATCCGAGGAAATCTATCCATATTTTACTGTTAGAATATTTTCCATCGAGGTAAGACAGAATTTCTGCAACGTTTGTTTTAATTATGTGCAACCATGTAGCTGCGTTATTTGTTAAACGAAATCGAAAAACTTGAATGAATAAATAAATAAATGAAATAAAATGAGAAAATGGCCATGAGCAAATGAATATTTATTTCTTGTTATTCAATCTATTTCTGACCTACCAAGTATGCATACTTAATTGCGCTCATTTTTATTTTTGAAACAAAGTCGGAAATACATTTCTATTTAACGTTCTCGTAACCATTAAACACTTCGGTAATAGTTGCTTAGTGGATAAGGCAATGTCTGTACTTGGCAGAGATTGTTGGCCCCATCCTATTGCCGGTATTTAGCACATTCTCGACCTAGTGCAAATGACCGGTTAATAAAATATCACTACTAGATATTTCATTGAACTTTTGCGCCCTTATTTTTTTTATATAGTTTGTGTATATCATAATAGAATGTTTCCAGTAATAAAAAGAACACATCAGTAAAAAGCAAACAAACTGAGAAGATGAATGATCGTCATTTTAGAAATAATTCAGCTTTAAAGATTTAAAAATCTGTTACAGAAATTTGAAAAGAGAATACTTTATCAAATGCACTTTACTGCATGGCCAGACAAAAGTACACCTAAAGATGCACATACCATTGTAGAGTTTTGGGAGAAAGTCACGAGAATACCTACGTTCGAGCTAGGGCCCATAATAGTACACTGCAGGTAACAATAAAATTGTTTGTAGCAAATCTTTACAAGAAAGATCTTTTTACAGCAATACAAAACAAAGGGAAAATGAAAAGCGCAACTATTCCTACAAACGAAACAGCCGCATAATCTATGATATACATGTTATGAATTATCACAAAGGATTGAAGGACCAAGCAATAAAACAACACTTAGATGAAGTGCGTAGCCATATTTTGAGCTAGCACATAACACATAACAACAAAAATTATTGTAACAAGACATACCACACGAGAGAAAAGATAAAACAAATGGTTTTGATTGTGTTTGTTTGTGAAAGATAATGACAACTGCGGCATCTAAATATATAAAGTTGATCAATGAACTTGAAATATTTTGGCGAAAGCATAATCAAATAATTTTATCCAAATTACGACTTATATTTACCATTTGTCTTTACTTCGTAAATAACAGAAATATTAAACATATTTTACAGTGCCGGGGTTGGACGAACAGGTACATTTATTGCATTGGACATACTAGCGAATGAGGGAGTTTCCGAGAGAACAATAGATATATTTGCATGCGTCAGAAATCTTAGAGAGGATCGAGTTAGTTTAGTACAAACAGTGGTAGGTCATCATCTTTCCTGTTAAACATGTACCTATCTTTCAAAAATTGACTTTAAATTCCTAAAACAAAGATCAATTTTGTGAGCGACATGTTCAAAAGTTTAAGTACCGGTAATATATACAGTTAGCTGTATTTTGTCAAATGTCGAAGATTAATTCTCCTGTAGACGATCAACTATCTTCATCAATTCATTTAATATTTTACAAATGATTTCAACCGAACTAGTTTAACCTGCAATTAAACACTTTATTGAAATAAACAATGAATTGAAAGATTGGGAGGGGGAACAACACATCAAAACACCAGGTCAGTGAAATGTACAAGCTTTTTTGGACAAGTACACAGTTTTCAAACCTATTTTACGAGATGCTAGTCGAATCTGGTGAAGGGACAATAAATAATGAAACTTAAATGCATAATTTTTGACATTTCGGCAGAACTTTTTTGCTTCATGTTCAATACATTTTTATACCCTGAAAATGGAAATAAGACTAGATGGAGTATGATTTGCATTTGATGTAATTGTTTTCGACTTTGAAAATGTAAACATGCCAGGTTATAGAAGGAATTATATGAATTTGAAATAGATATTTCGGACGCTTGAGATGGGATCGAGGCAAAATTGATACCGATATGATAGAAACTGATAATGATTTCTTTACGAAAAAAAATCATGGTTCAAACGCTGAATATCTTTAATTATATTCTATATAGTGTAAAATATTTTACATTATAATTTATACAATTAATTATACGCCCAAAAACAATTTCGGCCCATATCATATGCATCTGGCCGACCTTCGGTCCGGCCGTCTTTTAGCAATTCGTTAGCAGTCTGTATCTTTTGAACCGCTGGATGGAAAATGAAACGACATGGCAGAAATATTAACAACAATGAGATGATATGCAGAGCCAGGTTTGCACTTCCTCAGGTAGAGGTCAAGGTCATATTAAGTGATTTTGTATAAATTTCAACATTTCGTGTGCGCCCTTTTATATTTGGTCCGATTGGTAGAAATTAAAACTATTTGGTTGAATTATTACTTAATATTATAATAAAAAAGATATGCAGAACACAGATTTGAGCTTCCTTTGATAAAAATTGGTCCCATTAGATATTATGCATATACTTTAACAAAAATGGATATGAATCATGTGTCTTAGATTGATATAGCCTCGCCTCATTGGTCTCTTGTATTATAAAAAACATTTATTGGGAAAAGACATCTGTGACTTACTGTGTGAAACTGCAATTCCAAGAACTTAGATATTTGGCATGTAACATCACTTTTTGGTCTACAACATAACTGGTATAAATCATGCCCTTGGGTCAATATTGGCTCCTCCTCGAGCTCATTAAATAGAGAAAATAAGAAATTAAGTTAAGTTATTATAAATTTCTATAGGAAAGCTCATTTAAGACGTATTTTATGTACTCATATTGCTTAGAGACTAAATATTTGACATGCAGCATTCCCTTTTAGGCCTATACAAAACTGGTATTAGTCATGCCCCAACGGTCAAACTTGACCCCGCCCCAAGATTCACTTGATATAATCTTGTATAAGAAAAACACATTTCAGTCTTATTTTGTGAAACTACAATGTCTAGAGTATAAATATTTGTTATATATCATTTCCGTGTTTACCTCTACAAAATTGTTATAAATTTTAAACTTGGGTCAATATTTGCCAAACCACGGGGTGTCACACATTTTATACATATAAAACCAATTTGAGTATTATCCTGCGAAAATTCAATATCAAGGGCTTAGATATTTGCCCCGCCCCGGGAGGCACTTTTTTTAGACTTACATAGAAAAAAATACTTTTTCGTCTTATTACATTCAACTACAAAGTCTAGATATTTCGAATGTACCATTAGATTTCTATAAAAGTTGTATAAATCATAAAAATAATTTCAAAATTGGCCCTGTTCCGGGAGTCACTTGTTTTATGTAGAATAAAGTATAGGAAAACACATTTGATCTTCTTGTGGATGACTACCATGCCTCTCTAGCATTGTCCTGTAGATCTCTATAAAAGTTTTATGAAGTATGCACCTAAGGTACAATATGCCTCCTTGGAGGTCTTACAGCAGGTGTCAAGTGCTGTGTGGCAGCTGTAAAAAGTTGCCCCGTACTTCACTTCAGTATTGTTATATTTTTCTGGTCCTTCGGGATCATTGATGCAAGCACTATTAAGTGTTGATTAATGCTTCCGAGGGATCACTTTGTATCCAGATTTTTTTACAGTTTCAAAATGATTTTTAAGATAAAACATTATATTCAACACAAGTTTCTTATTTGAATATTTTCCCTAATTGAAAGATCATTTTTGATTAATAAAACAAATTTACATTCAAGCAAACATTGCCCAACCATTGCGGTGCCCTTGTCATAGTTATAATTTTAATTAAACTTGAATTTAAGGAAATAAACTTAGATTCGGTGTGTTGGTTTTGTTTGATATTGTCAAAATTTGTTATAACAAAACTTAACGTTCATAGGAACAATACAGATTCCTTCACGACGCTTTGGTACTGCTGCTTGATTCTCACACATCTGTAAAGGCTCTGCTTGCAAACGATGCAACCGTTCAGAATGATTCTCCCGACAAAATCAGCCAGACAGGTGAAAGACAAAAGAGAGACAATTGAAAACATTATGTTGTACAATAGAATAATTGCGTTATTCCAATAATTGTGTACATAATGATGTTGACTTGTATACATTATGTTCTTTCCGTATGTATTATTAGAGAGAATAATGATTATGTAATAATTATACACAAATTGCCTTCCTGTCTTTTTTTGGTGATTGCAACATTGTAACCGTCATTATTACGTCATACATTTTCAAGAAATTGCATGGATAGTTTCAATATTTTTAAAGTTTCTATTTGATATTTCATATTTGTTACATATTACATACTGTATGTTTATTTTTTTTCAACATTTGTGACACAATTTTGTAAAGTAAATTTCATAATGAACGTTTATTGATTTATTGATGTCATGATGCCAAATGCATTTATATGTTAATGTCATTTTATCTACATGTTTATTGTATGTGCATTTTGTAACTATTTTCATATTTTCCTTACTAAAGATAATGTGGTCATGTTGATTATCTCTTTTATATATACTTTTCTTAGAAACATTAAATTAAGTATTGGCAAATTGTAAGTCGATTTCATTTAAGAATATCTGTTTAAAAATTTTATTTATAAACTTCGATAATTCTGGTTGTAATAAGAACATATCTAGGCAACATTATTAGTCACGACATTTTAAGTTTTGCTCCTTAATAGTGACACTGGTCCGTTAATCCAAAAGGGGTTAAACAAGCGAGGAGTAGTAACTATTTACACATACAAAAAGGTGATCAATTTGTTAATACCACATGTTTACAATTGAAATGGTTTTCTGAAATATTTCACATCTTTCCAGCATGTCAAAAATATAAAACCGGGTAGATTTTAAATGGTAAGTTTTTACTCATCATTATGCATAAGATACAATTTTGTTTAAAAAAGATATTTGATTTAGGATTTTTTATATTGATTTTCAGTTGCTCATCCCGACCGAATGAACCTTATAATATAGGGTTAACGCATGTTTTTCCGTGTTATAACGTCTGCAAAGTCCCGAGGGACTCTGCAGACTTTATAACACGAAATAAACGTGCGTTGACGCTATTATAGCATAAAATTTTCGAACAGATTCGTGATGTATAGTTTATACAAAACACAATTACATTAAATTCTTGTGCTTGGACGTTATTTATCCAATTCTATGTTTTACGTATGCGTTTCATTTTTCCGGGGCCAACAACTTGGAAAATTCTCGGAACCTAACGAAATTTTGAATTTTAATTGATTTAACAAAGCTTGGCCTTTGGAGATTTATTATCTCAAGAAAAAAAACGTTACATATATTACTCTACCCTCTACCCAAGACAAAACATGACCCTCAGAAATTCTTAGAGTGATTTCAGATTGACGGTAGAAAAAAGATCAGTGACATCAGAATCGTTTTTTTTTCAAGCAAACAAGTTTATAAAAAAATCAGGCACTAAGCATTATTCTCTCAAAGAAATATAAAGAGCATTTATCAACATTAACATAAATAAAAAAACATTTTCTCATATTAATTTTGTGTTCTCTAGTTTTGTAAGTTAATCGGAGTGTTAAACTAAATGACAGGTATATAGATTCTACTGTATTTGTTTACATTGACAACTGTCCGTTTCTTAGAAAGGGCGACAACCAAGATTAGCACCGATGTCTATACGCCGTTTTTCCGGCATAGTTACTGGAATATGCGACTTAGGCCCTCGAATCAATAAATTTCAATATAACAAGAGCGCATGACTCTTCGGCAAACAGGCCAAATCGTCATTTTTTGTTTGTTTGTTTACTGGGCCCTGTATGTATTGCGCATAGGTGAAACCGGGCTATAACAAGAGCGCGTTACTATGTTAACACATGGTTTTGGTCCCGTTATAACATGGGCAAAAGAGGGAAAAATAGCCGATTTTATGCTATAATACAAGAATCTAACAACGGCTGCCGGTACAGACAGGTATTTCTTGCATATCAGACTGGCGTTTCCGTTAGTTTTACCCATGCCGGAAATTTCATCTGGCATGGGGGGTTCCAGATGAGTCGCGTGCTGTACAATGGCACGATAAAGATGACGTCATTTTACCGTTATGCATGATTTTGTAATTCATACGCCGTTGAATGAAAGTAGTTACGGTTGTAATGATATAAATTTTCATTGAAATTAAAGATAAAGAATTTAAAATATAATGGAATATGGTAGGATATGCAAGAAAAAATATCTGACATATGTTTGCGGTTCGGATCGGAATATCCGTCCCTCGGTCACCCGCCCGAGAGCTAGATATTCCCGTCTGTACCAATTGCCGGGTTTGATTCCTTTTCTTGCATATTACATGTCAATAATTTTCGGAACAGAAATTATGGAAACTGATATTTTCATTACGCACTTTTTTGTTATAGTATCGTATGAACAAACAACTTCATTCATTACGGAAAAATGACGTCATCCTTAGAACGCGATTCATTCATAAAAGGCGCGCGTCAATGACGTCATTTAAAGCACGCGACTTGTCTTATATGGGGGGTGTAATACAGAGTTTTCTAGCACCGGTGTAAACGGTAGATAATCCTGTCTGAGATGCAAGAATGCAATGTATTGCATGGGTCAGTTAACTGTTTTTTGTATTTTTTTTTCAATTTCAAATATTGGAATAACATGATATTTTAACAAATAATTATTTGTTAAGTTTTGCAAATGTGCATATAAAGAAAATATCATGAATAGACATTCTCTAACTTTGTTGGCACCTAGTTCAAAATAGTTTATATTATATTGATTCGGGTTTTGTACAAAGTCGACTTTGTGATTTGTATACGTAAGTCTAGTAATTGGTTATAAGTACACTCACCAAGATGTCATAGCAGCCATGGCCAAAGCACATCGTTAAAGGAAATGCCCTAACACAAATCCGCTTTTACTAAATAACGTTACGACTTTTGTTGTACATATGTAAGAAATTCAATTTTTATGTTTTTAGACTTTTAAACTTCAGTGTGGAGTCCCTTTAAGTTCAATTTATGGCACATTCTTTAGTGATTGCGTACATTTTATATGATTTGAATAATTTCGCATAGTGAAGTAAGTTGTTGACTACTTGTAAATTGCCAATTTGTAGAAAGAAATGATGGATATAAATATAGTTTATCTTGTAAAATATGTAACTCCATATTTCAATTTCATATAATGTACAGAATAACAAAGTACAATAAGTACATCCTGTATTATTATTAAGCTATGCAGCTAATGGATACAACTTCTTTGTATAAGGAAACCAATATATAAATTTATAATGTGGGCAATGCCATGTACATATAAATATTTTTTCTAATAAATGTATATACTTTCAGATATTTGGTTTTCTTTTCATTGCATTTGGGGAATCTTTCTTTTTAAGAGTTTTTACAATTTTGGGTATTGTGACAGCTGTAAACTGTTGCCGCGTTCTTCACTCAGTCAAGTTATACTTTTCCGATCCTTCGGGCAAATCTATTCCAATATTATTAGTATTAACAATTGCATACTTGAGCATTACAGATGTTGCACTTTCCATTATCTCTAATAAACAGAACGAAATTGTTCTTTGTTTACTCCCGAGCGATATCATCTTTCAAAACAAAAATACTATGAAGTGCTGTGTGACAACAGCATAAAGTCGCCTGATACTTCATCGTATATATGTTTTAAAATCCGTTTGGATCATTATTTGAAATAATTATAGTGTTGATGGTTGTATACCGATTTTTTGTTCCAAGGTAAATCTCCCCTGTGCTTTTGCAACTTAAGCTATCATATGCTATCATGTTCAAGTATTAATTTGTTCCAGACTTTATAAGATCTATTACCTATAATTTAGTTGAAGCAAATAATAACACTTCTGTGAAAACGCTCTTCATATTTATGTGTAAACTAATTATATGAAAGTGGTGGTAAATTCCACGTGTTTCTGTCGATTCGTTGATATTGAATTTACTTTAAGTGTAACAGTCACTAAAAACAGTTTCAATATTAACCTCTAGTGGAAGAAATATGTTAAAATTAAAATAACACAAAACATAAAAACCTTAAAACAGTGTCTTCTTTATCCGAATATATTTAATAAGTCTTTAACACTCCCTCTTACTGGCTACGCATTTATTCATTGAATCCTTCCTTCAAATAACAAAATTGTCGATTAATACCCCTGTATACTATCATTTTAAATACCTTAAACAATATCATAAAATTGACGTAAAATTTATAAGTGATAATTTACAATGTTATGCCATTTAGATTTTTGTAAATTCCGTGGAAAAACTTATATTATGCAGGATGCAAATTCATTAAATGGAGATGGACCTCAACACCGCAGGTGTATTTGCTGATACGAGATTTCCCTACTTTTGAGTCGTGCCCAAACAGAACAGCTCCTTTAAAAACAACAAAACCAGATTCATTTGGAGTTATAACACGTTTGTCTGAAAACGGTGCTCGTACCTCATCTTGAGCAATATCTGATTCAGCGAATCCCCCAACAAGCAAAATTGTTTAGATTCCTCGATAGTCGTTTTTTTCCAGGATTTCTCTGACGTGACACACTATATTTCAAATGGAATCCGTAAAAAACCGTTTGAAAAGTTCAGCTCTGATTTGAATCTTATCTTGCTTGAAAAAGACACGGTCAACATATCCTGATTCTGAAACGTATTGTTGCAAATCCTTCTTTTTTCTTAGTTTTTTAAGTGCGAAAGGGGAAAAAAAGGGGTGCAAATTTTCATTTTTAAATTTTTAACTGAAATTTTTAAGACAAAACCCTTTTTTTTTTTTGCTTTAAAATTTTTCCCAAACCCCTATCAAAGAAGTCGGCTGTATTTTTCTCTCAAAAATCTTCCAGAAACTGCTTTCAAACAATTTTATTAAGAAACATTAGGAAGGCAGTCTCTACCTGAATACCACCGCTTGCTTCAGCAGGTTCAGAAAGAGTCCCGTCTGATTGGACAGAATGAATACTAATATCAACAGTTCCACCTGCAATATTTGAATAAAAAACGATAACCAGATTTATGTGTTATCTCTTAGAATAAACCGTTACCTTACAACAATCTAAGTATCTGCTGCTTCAATTAGGAAGTATTACAGTGTTTTACATCAATGGGTAGCCGACTGTCAAAACGGATTTTAAACTATTGATTTTTTGCATTATGAACTATGTCAGTATACATATTTAAATTAGTTTCATTCTTAAATATGATACAAAATTACCAGTTCACCTCCTAGGTCTAAACCCATGTAATTAAAGCCACTCTTGAAAGCTTCTATATCATCTGATTTCGACACACGCAAAACGCTCAAGGTAAACGCTTACAAAATACAGACGCTCCTTCTGGTTCCAAAGGAAGAACAAGACGATTCTTGTGTAAACAAGCCTGAAGATATAAATTATTGAAACTATGAAATATTTATCTCTTCATTTAAACTGCAGAATAGAAACACTTGATTTTAAGTCGCATGCGCACTAAAAAGGTCATATTGGCGACATTCCAGCTTTACTAGTAGAGGAAAATCCGAGATGGCCATTCGCGCATTGTTTCTGGTAAAAGCGGGTTGAACTACCGACGGTTGATAAGCCAGTTAGAAAGCTTTCTCACATAGAAGAATCCCTTACGGGTTCCGCAACCACAGCCCCTTTAAAAGACAATGGTTTTAAAATTAATGCATTTACGTAGACTGACCATTTTAATATTTCAAAAAGCATTTTGTTTAGTTTGATTTTTATATTTATTGACCTCGGTACCCGGGGGTTCCTTCATAAAGTTTACTGATTTATTCCAGAATAGGGGTTGTTTAAAAACCCCCTGTATAACACCTACATCAAATTTTTTCCCGTAAAACCTTTTTTTTAATTTAAATTGGAGAAGATGTTGCTTTTTAAGGGTTTTTAAATTTCCCGCAAAAAACTGTTTTTTGCTGCCCCGACTTTTTTTTATTTTATTTTAAAAGTGTTGTAGGGCCCATTAAAATTTTAAAATAATTCCCCGAAATAAAATACTTCCAAATTTTCTCTCCCAGAAAGCTTTTTTGGGAGGGGTATAATATTTATTGGGAATTTTCAAAAACCCACAACAGTTCATTTTTTCTTTAAAAAAATAAACATAATATTTTTAATTTTAAATTGATTTACTTTTCTAGAAAATTTAAAGTTTTAAAAAAGAAAAATTTGTTTCCAAAAAGTGGAGAATGGCCATATTTGTTTTCTCCAAAAACATAAAATGCAGCCTGGGCATATTGATATGAAAACAAGAAATAGTTACATCTACAAAACCAGTGACAGTTATCAAGTTAAATTTATTTGATAAGAATGCTGTCAATATTATTAAATATTTACCTTGCTTTCATGAAGAAGCATTTTAAATCGACGGAACTAAAACCATTCCTTGTGCTCCTCTTCCTCTGCTAATTCCATGTACTTGTCTTAAGCGTCATATTCGAATGAATGAAATACTTTTTCTGGTGTGAACAACACTGTTGTCGGTGCCTTGAAAATGCACCGGTCAGACAGAGTTTAGGAACATAAAAGTTAGCCTCTCGAAGATATATCTAGTTATTGGTGATGGTAAATTAATGAATGAATATAATTTAAAGAAAAAACAAAGAGAGGATAAAAATGTAGAAAGGACGGAAAATAAATACATGCATAATAGACTGCTAAGAGACAAAATAGAGTGTATCTGACGGAAATGTAGCATAACGTGCGTATGAATTTCAAAATGAGTTGATTTCATCAATAAATAATTATTGTTTTTCCTTTGTCACGTTAGAGTGTTTCATTTTAATCAAAACTCATTATGAAATGACCTAATTATTGACAAAATCGGCGATGAAAAAATATTTTCTTTCTGTAGAATGTTATTAACTGAAAAAAGAAAGATTATACAGATTTGTGATGAAATACACCAGACGCGGAAGTACTATATTTTGAAATATAGATGCTTTATAAATACCGTTTGTGCGTAGTTCATCAAGTTAAAAACACTAAAATGATACTATAAAAAAAACTTTAGACATTATCTTTAACAATAGCTCATTGTGTATGGATATTTTCATTGGTTATGTGAGCGTTGTTATCCGTTTTCTTCAATGTAATTTATTATTACCTTCAGAGAAATATGACCGCCTCCAATCAAATGATTTGTTTGAACTTTCATTGGGTCAGTTTGAAAATCATGCCCAAAAGAGAAAGCGTGTCCAGAAAAGGTAGTTCCAAAATAAATCGCGGCTACAATAAATTTTATTGTTAAAGTCGTTGTGAGTTTCAGTCCTCTTTTAAAAAATCCAAATTTTAAAATCGCTGCAACTTTCTTTCAAGTTTCGGTTCAGAAAACGATAAATGTATACTGTGTTCACAGTAAATGCATATAATATACATTTACTTCAGGATTGTTATCTGTATTAAACTTCCTGGTCATTAGACCTACTTATATGATTATCCGTTAATGTATGTAGTTTTCATAACTGATTTCAAACACAAAATTCGAATTTGATATAAACAAATCAGGAAGTAATATCAAGGGGCAGGACGAGAAATGGTTGCACACTTATTTGCTATTACACGTATTTTCTTCAGGTAAGTGGGTTTGTATGCTATTTTGAAATTCTTTAATATGCTTATTCTATAAAGCATTAATAGTGGCACACTCGTTTTAAGATCTCATCTTCAAAACTTCTGATATTTGGTAGTTGCACACTTATTTGCTATTACACGTATTTTCTTCAGGTAAGTGGGTTTGTATGCTATTTTGAAATTCTTTAATATGCTTATTCTATAAAGCATTAATAGTGGCACACTCGTTTTAAGATCTCATCTTCAAAACTTCTGATATTTGGTAGTTATTTAAGATATAAACTTGTTATGTACATATTTTGAAATTTGACAAGTGACACTCCAGGGCGATTTATATGCTCATTTATTCGCATCTGTAAGGTTTTAAGCTCACAAAAAGACAAAATATATAACTATCAATACTGTGTTAATGTTTAAATTTGTATGTTCTAAATAAAGTTTCAATTAACTAAAGTATCTTGTTCAATCGCATTTTAGTTGCAAACTTGTAGTTCACGCATTTATGGTTGCAAACTTTTTTTTTCAGTCAAATATTAAACTGCCAAAGGATTCAGCGAAGATCATATTGATTAGTCACAGATATTCCTTGAAAAATTTACAAATGCAATTGTGTTTTTTCACTTGCTTTTAAAATGTTATTAAATGGCGTTTACATTTAGATGTTTCTTTATTTAGTTGTCAATTTGTTAGCATTTACTGGCGTGACCACTCCATGTCCCGGCTTTTGTGCCCTCTTCTGCGTTTTGT